TAAATAGCTATTATACATAAAGTGTTACATGTGTGTTTACTATTATTATTACTGTTACTATTCTTAGCATTACTACTATGGATTCTGCATCTATGTACAAAAGACACTGAATAAACATAGACAAGTGAGATAGTCCCTTTAAATAGCTTTATCTTTCCATAAATGAATAAAATAATTCTACATCATGTAGCCTAACTGGTATATAGTTGGCCTAGCATATGATATGTTTTGGGAGTTTTTCTCACACTAAATAGATCCAACTTTAGTGGTTTAAAACTATAGTCGTTTATTATTGCCACCAAGGCTACAGTTTGGACAGGTGATTCTTCCAGCCTGGCCAGGCGTGGCTGAGGGGAAACAAGCAAGGCCATTGGAGGCACAGGAAGCCTGCGGCACCTACAGCTGTAGAAACCACAGGCACAAAGCTCAACTTCCGGCTCAGCATAAATCCTCACAGAGGCCTGTGTATCTCTAGTGTATCCTCTCATGTCCAGCTTCCAACAAAAATGTATGAAATCATCAAAGGCAAGAACAGCAATCTGCAAAGACAATGTAATGATTAGAACCTGACTCAGATAGATATAGATGTTAGAATTAACAGGGAATTTAAAATAACTAAAACTAATACGTTAAAGTCTCTAATGAGAAACCTGGACAACCTGCAAAGACAGATGGCTATGTAGGCAGAGAGTTGGAAAATTCTAAGAATCAAAATGAAATTCTATAAATAAAGTACACTGTAACATAAAGAACATCTTTGGCTCATTAGCGGGCTCAACAAATGTGCAGAAAGAATCAGCGAGTTCAAATATGAGTTAATAGAAACTTTTCAAACTGAAAGTCAAAGAGAAAAAAATATATAGAAATATAATCCTATACATGTGAGAAATTTTTTAAGGTGTAATATACGGTTAATTGGAATATTAAAAGGAGAAGAAAGAGAGTAAAAGAAATATTTGAAGTAAAATATCTGAAGACTCATCTAAATGAATGACAGTAAAATTATCCTAAAGTGAAGGTAAAATGAAGACTTTCTCATCAGGCAAAAACCCAGGGTATTCACCATCAGAAGACCTGTACTGTAAGATTTTTTTTTCCAGGCAGAAGAAAACTGAGATATGCCAGAAACTTGTAACAAGATAAGGAACGGAATGATATCAGAGAAGAAAAAAATAAAGGTCTCAGATTCGATTCTGGTCAGGGCACATGCCCAGGTTGTGGGCTCAGTCCCCAGTGGGGGACTTGCAGGAGACAGCCGATCCATGATTCTCTCTTATCATGGATGTTTCTATCTCTCTCTCCCTCTTCCTTCCTCTCTGAAATCAATAAAAATATATTCTTAAAAAAATGAAAGTAAAATTATAACAGTAGAATTTGTGGGGTGCTTCAATTTTAAGTGGTGCTTAAAGGCACACTCATAGTATTAGGTGCACATATAAGGAAAGTGATCTAAAATCAATAACCTAAACTTTCACTTAAATTATATCAAAAAGTAACTTAAGCCCAAAAGAATTAGAATAAAAGACATAATACACATTAAGCAAAATCAATGAAATTAGAAATGGAAAATATTAAAGAAAATCACCAAAAAAACTTGTGGTTTTTTTTAAGATCAATAAAATTGAAAGACCTCTAATCATAAAAAAGAAAAGGACTTGAGAAGACACAAATTATAAATATGAGAAATGACATGTGCATTAAACAGACAATAGAAGACTACTATAAACAACATATTACTACCATTTTAATAATCTAATGAAATGGACCAATTTCTTGAAAGATGCAAAGCACTTAAACCCACAGAAAGAGAAACAGATAACCTGATAACCTAAACAGCCTTATATCTATTAAATACATTGAATGAATAATTAATGTTTCCAAAATAAAGAAATCATTAGATCCAAATGATTTCAACCTTGAATTCTATAGATTTTAAAAAAGAAATTTAAAAAGACAAAAATTAATGAACTACTAAGTCACCAAAAGACATGGATAAATCCTAAGTGCATAATACGAATTGAAAGAAGTGGTCTGAAAAGGATACATGATATATTGTTCCAATCACATGACACTATAGAAAAGGCAAAACTATAGAGATAGTAAAGAAGATCAGTGATTGACAGGGGGCTAAGAGTGGAAGAAAGGTTAAATATGTGAAGCAGAGATGATTGTTTTAGAGTAGTGAAACTATTTGGGATGGTATTGTCAGATATAGCATTGAATTTTTCAAAAGCCATTGAACTTTACAGCACAAAGAGTAAAACTTAATGTACACAAATCTTTTTTTAATTCTTTATTTACTGATTTTAGAGAGAGAAAAAAATGAGATAGATTTGTTGTTCTACTTATTTATGCATTAACTGACTGTATCTTGTATGTGCCCTGACCAGAGATTGAGTCCATGACCTTGGCAAATTAGGATGACACTCCAAGCAACTGAGCTATCCAGCGAGGGATTAAT